TAAGCGCGTCGTATAAGCTGGTGGCGAAGGTGCTGGCTAACAGAATTAAGAAAGTATTACCGCGGGTTATATCGGAACGACAATACGGCTTCTTACCTGGGAGACGTTTGGCGGATGCGGTATCAACGGTAGCAGATGTGATCGATGCAGTGGCGGAAGGGGACGAGGACTGGATGCTGCTCCTCGTGGATTTTCAGAAGGCTTACGATTCGGTCTCGAGAGAGTTCCTTTTCGACACGATGGGGAAGATGGGGTTTCCAGCCAAATTCATTGCTTGGACAAAGGGTCTTCGCGAGGGAGCGGGAACGAAGCTGATGGTCAACGGTTGGCTGGGCGACAGAATCGAAATGGAAAAGGGAGTAAGGCAAGGATGCCCGCTCGCTCCTTATCTCTTCCTCTGCGCAGCGGAGCCACTCTGTCAGGAAGCGGAAACAAGGGGCTTGGGCATTCGGAAAAGGGGAGTTGGAGGTCTGACATACGTAGGGTATGCAGATGACACTACTCTGGCTCTACATGGACAAGAGCAAGTGGTAGCGGCCAAGGTGCTGCTGGACGATTTTGGTCGACGCTCGGGTCTGCACATAAACCAGGAAAAAACGAAGCTGCTGCCGTTGGGAAAAAACAGGAGGAGGCAACAGCCCACGGACTCACCGTTTCAATGGGCAGCGCGGAATGAGCCGGAACGCTTACTGGGAATATGGGTCACACCAGGAGGGTCACCGGAGCCGTCCTGGTACAAGGCGTTTGAGCGGATGTGTGGGGTGCTGATCATGTGGGACGCGAAACACCTGACGACCTCGGCCAGGGTGACGATCGTCAACAGCTACGCGTTGCCAATACTGTTGTTCCAAGCGTTGGTGTATGCGCCCCCGCAAGAGATCTGGATGAAGGTGAAGAGGATCTGCCACAATTTCATCTCAAAAGGAAGGGCATCGTTCGACAGGTTCTTCATTTTATGGAGTTTTGAGCTATCCTGCAGAGATCGGAAAGAGGGGGGACTTGGGGTGATCAGTCCGAAGGAGAGGTTGGGCAGCATCGCGATTCACAACATCGCGCGAGGGGCAGCAACAAAGGACCCGTTCCGCAATTGGCTCTGGGAGAAGGCGGCGGGCTTCCCCCAAGGCCTTGCGACGGTGTACGCTCATCCAGCGATCATGCAACACTGGCTGAAAATCGGAGTGAGATGGAAGGCAACGATCGAGGCTCTCTGGGAAACGAAAACGGTGGTGATAAAGGAGACAGCGAACCGGTGGGAGGCAGAAGGAGAACATCTGCTCTTCAATAGGGAGATTTTCTTCAGAGGAAAGTCACCCTTCGGAAGGCAAAAGGGCTCTGACTGTCTGCAAGGGATCACGTTGGGGGATTTAATCAAAACAGGTGCGGACGGCATCAGAATGGTGAAAGACGAGGCGACACTGGAAGTGAACTGGGAGGAGTAGAGCAGAGGAAATGGGCGATGAAGGCGCTAGAAGCAATACCGGCGGCCTGGAAAGAGCTGGTCCTAAAAACACTCACTGCGGATGAGGTTTTTGGTGCGGCGAAGCTGATCAGGAAGGACTCTTACGGGCCTGGAGAATTTTTCTTTTACAGGCTACTCTACACAACGGGGAACAGACGGTACGGGAAACGGGTGACGGTGGATGCGGACGGTTCGGTCAAGGAAGTAAATCTCGCCAGTGCAACGGAGGTTCTATGGGAAAGGGCGACGCCGATGGTGGAGCTAGGAGGCAAAGTATGTGGCCCCATGGGAGCGCCGAGGACGAGGCTGCTGCAGTCAAAATTGTGTGAACAAGGGGAGCCAGCCGAGCTGCGGGTCATGAGGAGGGCGCTGAAACCCCAGCTCACAAGGCCAAAGCAGCAACAACAGTGGGAGGAGGATTGGGGGAGACCGATCGATTGGAAGAAGGCGATTGAGAAGGGATTCACTGGTGACTCCGGCCAGGGCAAGGGAGGTGATACTGCGGGCACACAGTAAAATTTTGCAAGTGGGCGAACGTCTTCCTTTCCTGGGGGCACGCGCCAATTGTGTTCACTGTGGGGGGGTGGAAACACTCGACCACTGCATTTTGGACTGCCCGAGAGTGAAGCCGGTAACGGAGGTGGTGCAGAGAGCGCTCCGACTGATGAACCCAGCGCGACAAGGAGGGACAGTTGGCGACCTACTGTTTCAAGGAACATACACGGAATCAGGCTTTCCAGAAGCCTCGCTAATCGCCACGGCATCACATCAAGTGTGGCTGGCAAGGTGCAACGCCATATGGAGAGGGGCGAGATTTCAGCCCAAGCGGGTTCTGAGGCGGATCAACGTTCAATTCACGAGACACGTAAGGATCTACAGTAAGATAAAGAAGAGACAGGGGAGATGGAAGTGTCAGGGGGGCAAAAACGACTGGGAGCACCTGGCAAAGGATGAGGCAGCGGTGCTGAATAGGCTTTACAGTGAAGAGGCATCAATGACGTGGAGAGAAGGCTTCAAAGCGATCTGGGAGGATCCACTCATCACCTTTCAACCGCCATAGAGAGTATTTGGGGGGTTGCATATACAAGTATAGATAATACGCCTCCCTCCTCATCAGTTACGACTGAGGACATTTCCTGTATGCTATGCCTTATAGTGTACTAGAGTCCACCAAAAAAAAAAAAAAAAAAAAAAAAAACAATCGGTCGCAATCGATTGCATCAAATTGAGGCAATCGATTGCGATCTCGATTGCGATCGACAGATTGCCCCCGATTGCCCAAAAGTACCCCATGGACCTTCACGGAAATTAGGGATTGCGTAGATCGAGGCAATCAGCCTCAGATCGCCCCGATCTGCACCACGTCCTAAGTGATTTCGACGGGTATGAGGACGGGTGAACGCCGGAGTACCAGGGTCGACGGCGGAAACGTCGGGGTTACACGGCGGAAAATACTTCGGGACTGCTGCCGCAACCATGATTTTCGGGCGAAATTCCTACAGTGGGAGACGGGTGAACGTCTGCTCGCCAGCTGTTTAAGTGTTTTACGGTGTACTTCGAAGCCATCTGGGGAAGTTCTACAGCGAGATCTGCGGCGTCGATGCGGGCTAGGTTCCGTGAAATTAGGTCCCAGCTGACCCATAGTTCTGGGTTCCACACGAGAGAGCGCCTCCTTTTGGTGGGTTGCTTGTGTGGTCACCACAGGCGATGAAAATGGCGACGGGTGGACACGCTAGATACACCGGTTCTTCAAAGGGATAACCTGCAGGTGACCAAGACGTACGAGTGTTTTTCGGCACCGACATTTACGGGGAGTGTTTTCAAGCGAACAGCGGAGTTTGCAGCGGCGCTTGGTTAAGCGCGCAAACTGCCGTGGTAAACTTCAGGCAGCAAAATCTGCAGAGTTTCAGGGGTACCAGCCGCAACACCGGTGAAATATTTTGCAACAGTTGGGGGAAGGAAGGACAGCTTTTTCGCCTCTGCCCCGAAGTTCTCGGCGAATAACGACAACGTCGCCGGCGGAGCTGACGTCATCGGCAATTCCAGTTCGAGGTTGAAAAAAGTACTGTACAGTATTGCAGCGGTCAGGGGGAAGTGCAGCAGCTGTTTTCGCCTCTGCCCGGGAGTTTTCGGAGAATAGCGACAAAGGCCTCGGCGAGTTACGACAAGGTCGCCGGAGATGCTGACGTCATAAGAAACTGAGTTAACGTTTTCATCGGAGTTTTCAATACTGAAACTAGTTCAGTTACTTGATCCGCCGAATGTCGCTGATGTGCTGCAACTTTTTCGCGATTTTCGCGACGGTCTTGGAACGAACCTACACGATCCGGAGTCACGACCGAGAATTTTCAGGACAGGGCCTTCGCAGTTCCGCTACCGACGACAATGTCAACAGGCTTAACAAGCGACAACGCGGAGCTATTGCAGGCGGCAGCTGCTGACAACTGGAGATGCTGCAGCAATCGAGGATTTCGATGCTGCCACAGCAACGATTTTCGGATAACAGATGCTGCCAGCTGGGGATTCTGCAGCAGCCGCGACATTCGGATACATTCGGACTTCGACAGAGTTTCCCCTGGGTACTTTACGGAGTTTCAAGAGGTGGGATTTTCGCCATCGACAACAGTCTCGCCAGTGCAGCTGCTAAATTCAGGATGGGTTCATTACACGTGGTAGTCTGAACTAGCCCCGGAATACAGGGTGGTCGGATATTTCTACCCGCGCAGCTGTACGAACTTGTGGGCAACCCTCGGTTCCAAGGGGGGGAGAAAGAGTGCTCTCGCATGACACACTCAGCTTGACGGACGCTCGAGATTAAACTCTCTCCATCGACGGTTCAGATTTGACGACCTCTGACATTGCGTCAGGAACTCTCGCCAAGCATCGTTCGAATTACCACCGTCAGATCGCGATCAACGACATCAACGACCGTCATTCAATCGCGTTTTCAACCCACTACTGCCTTCGCGACCGTCCGACTGAAATCGGAAATGTCAACGGCTGACATTCCAACTCTTTTTCAAATTCGCCTGGTCAACTGGTCAGCATCGCGTCAACTCGACAGTCAACGCTTTCTAAGCCGACAGATCAGTTTCAACCGAAGATCTGCAGTTTTCACGCTACTGCAAGACTCGGCTACGTATAAGGACACATTATTTAGAAGGTGGGAGAGTGTAATGAATATGGATTATTTACTGTAGAGGCTGCTCCTAGCGAGGACAGCCCGAACAGTTCGCGTCAGTTTGGGTTCGGCCTACACTTCGGCCCGAACCACATTCCGAGCCGCCCCGCACCAATCGCGACACATCCAAACCGCGCACGTCACGAGGCTCTCGCCAAGCACGTATTCGCCCTATAAATGCCTGCTTTATTCATTGTCTCGTCATTCTCTACTTCACATCCTTTTTACACTTCACCCTCGCCACTCTGCCTTGAGCTTACAATTCACTTTCATTTTTTCAGCACAGTATCACATTCACCAATCAGCTCGTCTTTTCCTAGTGGCAGTACACGAAAATAATACTACTCAGTACAGTGAGCTTCACCCTCCAAGCTCTGCCTTGAGCTCCCCATTGGCCTTCATTTCAAGCACAATATCGCATCCACCAATCAGCTCGCCCTTGTGGTACACCTGGGGGTACGTGGGCCAATTGGAGAGCTCCTTCAACCCCTGCCTCACAGCTTCATCTGTGAGAATGTCAAAACTGCCGAAGGGAATGCCTTCTGACTGGAGTGCGCCCACCACCTTGCGGCTGAACCCACACCGCGGCTCCTCCGGTGTGCCCTGAATAGCAAGGGATGGGGATGGTCATGGGTACAAAGCACAGGAAGGCAAGTGGGGGGAACGGGGTGGGAGGGTGTAAGACATGTCTTCAGCCTTTGCCTGACTGCTTCAACCGTCAAAACTGCCAAAGGGAATGCCTTCTGACTGGAGTGCATCCACCACCTTGCGGCTGAACCCACGCCGCGGCTCCTCCGGTGTGCCCTGAGAAGGCAAGGAATGGGGATGGTCATGGGTACACAGCACAGGAAGGCAAGGGGGAAAAGGCATGTGTTCAGCCCCTGCCGCCCTGCTTCAACCGTCGAAATGTCAAAGCTGCCGAAGGAAATGCCTTCTGACTTGAGTGCGTCAACCACCTTGCAGCTGAACCCACACCGGGGCTCCTCCGGTGTTCCCTGTGAAGGAACGCAGCAGAGAGCAAGGTGAAGACGAGACGAGAGCCCAAGCAGCTCATCCCTTGCTCTCATCACTTAGCTAAGGCGGGACGACACAGAGTATCACATACACCCCAACCCCAATCTACTCCAACCTACCTTCATGAACAGCATGGTAGGCGAAGACGAGAGGAGCGCCTTCAGTCGCTCTTGCAACCCCTTCGCCCCATCAGCCTCCCCATCCGCTGCTGCTGCTGCCGCCACTGCTCCTGGTGCATCTTCTTTCGCCGCCCCTCCCAGCACCCCTTTTTCAGCAAACACCTCTTTCAGCTCCCCACTCTCGTGCATCTGCAGCACGATATCACACCCCCCAACCAACTCCCCCTTGCAATACACCTGCGGGAACGTCGGCCAGTCACTATACACCTTCAAACCCTGCCGAACCTCCTCATCCTGGAGAATATCGAACGACCCATACGCACCAGCCGCCGCAGAGCCTAAGTCCTTTTCCAGCACAGACACAACCTTAGAGGAGAAGCCGCATCTGGGGGCGCTAGGGGAGCCTTTCATGAACAGTAGCACCGAGTGGGAGGCCAGGAGAGCCTCGATCCGAGCCTTCAGGTCCGGGGACAGCTTCGGCTTGTCCGAACCTGCAGGCAGGGCGATCATTCGGGACGGCTGCTCTGGCTGAGCAACAGCAGCAGCAGGTGAGGAAGCAGGAGGAGCAGCAGCAGGATAGGCGGCGGTGCGAGCGGAGTGGAGAACCGATTCGATGACTTCAGCAGCAGCAGAGCTGCCGACACTGAAGTTGGTGGCAGAAGAGGGTGCAGCGATGTGCAGAGCGACCTTGTGTGCTAGCTCGGGGGGGTTGGCTCCCTCTAGCCTGTCCACCACCTTGCCATCCTGTTGAAAGAGGGGGAGAGGAGAGGAGGGAAAGGCAAGGGAAGTTGGTTGGTGGCAGAGGAGGGTGCAGCGATGTGCAGGGCGACCTTGTGGGCTAGCTCGGGGGGGTTGGCTCCCTCTAGCCTGTCCACCACCTTGCCATCCTGTCAAGACAAGAGAGAAGGGCGGAGGAAAGAAATGAAGTTACCTGCCATATGGTTCTAAGCTTGCAATTGTTTTCTCTGCTGGAGCTTATTATCATACATTCGGAATTTCTGCAGAAGGAATCCAGACCCGAATCTGCCATAGCATGTCCTGATTGGCGATCATCCAAATGATTTGGCGAGGTTTGATATCAAGCAATATGAAAGAGCGAAAAGTTGCAGAGCGTTTAAACGGAGAATGGAAGGAAAAAGGAGCACATTGCCAAGGAGGCAAGGAAGCAAGGAAGCAAGAAAGCAAGAGAGCAAGAGAGCAAGAGAGCAAGAGAGCAAGAGAGCAAGAGAGCAAGAGAGCAAGAGAGCAAGAGAGCAAGAGAGCAAGAGAGCAGGGCATGAGGGGCACCTTGAGGAAGAGGAAGAAGGGTACGGCCGACACCGAGTATTTCTCGGAAAGATCCGGCACCTCCTCTGCCTCCACCTGATTGATTGCATGGGATGTGTGGAAAGGGGGGAGGGGGAAGGAGCAAGGGGAAGGGAGAAGGGGGAAGGACAAGAAGTAGGGACACGAGGAAGGGGCAAGCGAGATGAACAAGGGCACCGCCAGTACAGAGTGTGTCTCAGAAAGGTCCGGCACCTCCCGCTTACAGGACCAAAAACGCATTCAGCTGCTCTTCGCACTCACTCTCAGGAACTTGGCGTGTAAGTTTTCAGCTGCAAGCTGTCCGGACACCACGTCCATGTGCTTGCAGGGCTCGCACCATGCGGATCAGAAATGCATTCAAATGTTCTCAGTGCTTACTCACTCTCAGGAACTTAACATGCGGATTCTCAGCCGCCAGCTGCCCAAACACCACGCCCATGTGCTTGCAGGGATCGCACCATGCCGCCCTGTCATGCATTCTCATGTTCCCAACTTCTCAATGCCGATTTACCCTCAGGAACTTGGCGTGGGGGTTTTCAGCTGCCAATTGCCCGAACACCACGTCCATGTGCTTGCAGGGCTCGCACCATGCCGCCCAGAAATGCACGGCCACTGGCGCCCCTTCCTTGGCCGAGGCATTGAACGCCTCTGCTGACGTCACCTCCGTCACAGCCATGGGTGCTGGTTAAATGGGGGTGGACGATGGATTGAGGAGCGAGAGTGAGGGAGGAGAGGAGGGGGATGGGGCGGAAAAACGGATGGGGAGAGGAGGGATTGAGCAGGAGAGGAGGGGAAGGAGGGAGACATGAACGAGGAGGCAAGAAAATGGTGAGTGACGTGACGTCACGGATGCAGTTTGCGTAACGTCGCAGCACAGAACGAGAGGGGTGACATAGTAGACGCATCGTGATCTGAATGACGTAAAAAAGATTACTGGCGAGATTGGGTTGTTACATGGTTATGGCGTTACAGCGTAACAACATCACAGGGTGCAAACACAGTCGATCAGCCAGGGTCCCCAAAACGATAACTGAAAGGTCCTTCAATCATTCCACCCTACTCGCAAACTATATCTCCCAAACGGCTGGGCGGCTTTTCCCATTCTCTCGTGTTTGCATAACTACACCCGTCTCCTCCGGTTCACCAAACCCGATTTCCCTCGCGGCGCGATCGCACCTCACCAGACTCTAGTAGTAGCAGCGGGGATGCCGGGCGTTCTCGCAAAGTTGTCCACCCTTTTCTCTAGCGCGACCACGATTAGCTATGAGAAATCTGAATGCTCCGTTACTGGAACGAGAGGCGTGTGAAAGAAGAATCGCGAAATCTGATTGCAGAGGGGAAATACATGTCCGTACTCGCTGGGAACTTCAGCTCGATATTCTGTGAAGAGTGCTGACTTTTTGGAATACACAAGTGCTGCATGTGAGGAGGAATATAGTAATAAGAGTTTGAAATCGCAAGTTAAGTAATAATATATTAACTAAATCATTAATGATAAAATCGGAAAAGATGAATTTCTAGTAGGTGTTTTGGATACCATAGCATCAGACTGCCTACTTTCATACCATATAAGATTGAATGTTTTCCTAAAGCCAAACATTGAATCTTTGAATGTTTTTCCTTAGTTATGGCGAAGTAAAAGGAATGAAATCACTAAAATTCTGCACTAAGAAAGTAATGAGACACTGGCGAGAGATCTGTGTCTCAACAAATCAAACACGTCCACGAGGGAACCAGATAAGCTTGTCAACCAATCAGCTTTCTCCTCGTACCAATACGGAAGTTCTTCCTGATGCTCGTCCCGACGGACCCAAATTCTTTTATTTCCAATCAAGTCTCACTGGTTTCAGGCTTTCCTCCATTGCTTAGCTTGTGCTGTTACACTAGTAGATTGATTAGCCGCCATGGTAGTAGCAAGCTCGTTGTGCTGTAACCACGCGGTTGGGCTGAAGCCGCTTCAAACTACTGCTACCAATGAAACTCGTAGCTTAGCCTCTTCGTCTAGGCTACAAAATGTCATCCCTCGCTTGACTGCTGGTAACCGCAGTGCTCGCATCCAACGGTGCGACAGGCGAAGCGTTCGCATCTCAGCCGTCAATGTCGCTCCCGAGAGTGCGACTGCGTCGCAGGGCTCGGATTGGGAGCTTCTCGATTGGATGAACGCCAACGGGCTGCCTCCGTGCAAAGTCACGCTGAAGGAGCGACCCGGAGCCACTCCCGAAGAAGATACGATCCACTACGTTGCCGCCACGGAAGATCTGCAGGCAAGCCTAGAATCCGCGAGTATTCAGCGTTTTATATGCTCGCTGTGCGTTGCAGCCCGGGGCCATTCCCGAGGAAGATACGATCCATTACGTTGCAACCACGGACGATCTGGAGGCAAGCTTAGAATCTGCGGTTCTAAAACATTTCTTCCGCGCTGTTGATCCAGTTCTTGACAGAGAAACCATGTAGATGGTTCTATAGATACGGAGCCACGCCACGAGGGTTGAGAGTTGCTTTTCTTTCTGGCTTTGCTCATCGTTAATGGCAGCAGCAAAAGAATTTATCATGATTGACTGAATCGTGCTGTGTGTGTGCGTTTTTCAATTCATCAACCGACACGACGCGTCCCGTCGTGACAATCCCTGATTCCATCCCTGGCAGGCCGGCGACATTCCCTTGAAGGTTCCGGACAACCTCATTGTCACCCTGGGCCGAGTGCTGGGAGACGAAAACCTAGGTATGGCTTGCGTGTCTGCATGTTTCATCACTTCATGGGTCCACATGGATGCCCCGCAGGCCGGGTGCAATGGCCTCATTGTAGTTCCGTAAGGAATGGTACATTGGCGTTGAAACATCTCACCCGACGACAGTCGCACCCCCTGATTCATTCGACCCAAATATATCTCCTCGTTGATCTTGCAGTGCATCGCACGACGCTTGTCCCAACTTCAGTGTCTGCTTTGCGCGTCACCTCCCATTCTCTATTTTTGTCGTTTTTCGCGTCTCTGAATCGAGCCAATGTGTCAACTTCCACCCACGAGCAATACGACACGTACCAATGCTCTCCGCCTCTCGCCCTCTCGTCGCACTCCCCTCAATCCCCCACCCCAACCCACCCCTCCAGCGGAGCTGGTAACAACCAACAAGCTGTCGGAGCTGGCGTGCTTGGCGCTGTACCTCATGTTCGAGAAGAAGCAGGCCGACCAGTCCTTCTGGGGCCCCTTCATCAACGAGCTTGATAGGCAGAGGGGGCGAGGCCAGACCGCCGTCGCGACCCCTCTCCTGTGGGATCCCAAGGAGGTGGCAGAGCTGTTCCAGGGCAGTCCCATGAAGGTGTGTGTTAGGGAAGCTATATATGATGCTCAATGTGGAGAAATTATTATTAAGCGCTGGGAAGAGGTTCACAGGCAGAGGGAGCGAGGCCAGATGGCCGTGGCCACGCCGCTGCTGTGGGACCCGCAGGAGGTGGCAGAGCTGTTCCAGGGCAGTCCCATGAAGGTGAGCATCAGTGAGGATATATGACGGTCAAGGGGCAAAAAGCATCACTCTGAGGTGCTGGAAAGAAGTTCAGAGGCAGAGGCGGCGAGGGCAGGCAGACTGCTGTGGGACCTGGAGTGGAGGAGGTGGCAGAGCTGTTCCATTCCAGGGCAGCCCCGTGAAGGTGAGGACTGGCTGTGAAGGTCAAGGGAGGAAAGCGCATTGTGAGGCGCTCGAAAGAGGGTCACAGGCAGAGGGACGAGGAGCTGCTGTGGGAAACGGATAAGTTGCAGGCAGGGCCGTTTAATACAGTTGTCCTATGAATATGATGTGAGTGCAGTTCCAAATGGTGCAGGCAGGCACGGCTTTTCAAGAGGCGCCTAAGTAACGGGCTATCATCGAGGCGCCTCAAAAACAGTTGTCCTATGAATATGATGTGAGTGCAGTTCAAAATGGGGCGGGCACGGCTAAGTAGGCTGTAGTAAGCAGAAATACTCAAGGGGCGACAGAGGTATGGTATTTGTGTGTGTGTTTTTTCCCCTTTCTCTTGCATTTTCCTCGTAATTCTCATCACTCCACCCACGTGCCTTCCTCACTCTCTCCCATACTCGCATTCTGGTCCCACAGGCGGAGGTGGAGGCGAGGCTGCAGGGCATCAGGAGGGAGTATGAGGAGCTGGACACTGTGTGGTTCCTCGCAGCTTCTCTCTTCAAGGTATGGCTGTGTGTGCACGTGCGGGTTGAGGGAGGTGGGTACGTGTGCAGTCGGCAGTGTGAGTTGGCCATGTGTGGGGCGTGTTAGTACAGCTGCAGGGCATCAAGAGGGAGTATGAGGAGCTGGACACGGTGAGGTACTGCTTTGAATCGTGTGCAGGGTGACATGCTTGTTGTGGCCACCGTGAGGCACGCATGTGTGTGTGGGGCGTGTGTGTGGGGCGTGTGAGTGCAGCTGCATGTGTCGATCGATGCGTGCGCTTCTCTGTCATATATCCGCGGTTGTCCAACCAACCTCTCACTTGCTTGCAGCAGTTCCTCTCTATTCTCTTATCCCCAACTCTTTACAACATCCGCCCGTTGGGGTATTGTTATCCCTTCACTCCTCTCCCCCGTTGCACCCCCATTCCCTGTTCCCTGACATTCTTCTGCACCCCCATCCTCTCCTCCCTCCCCTCTCAACCCCCCTTTCCCCCACCACACGGCAATACCCCTATGACACACCATCAGAGGCCTTTCCCTTTGAGATCTCCAAGCAGGCGTTTATCGCCGTGCAGTCATGCGTGTAACTCATGTCCTGTAACTCGCACATTGTCCGTCCGGCCCCCATCCCTTGACTCCCCTCCCACTGTTCGCCCTCTCCTATTCTCACCCTCTCTCCCCCCGCTCCCCCCCACAGCAATACCCCTACGACACGCCATCAGAGACCTTCCCTTTGAGATCTTCAAGCAGGCCTTCACTGCCGTGCAGTCATGCCCTGGAAATCGCACTTTGTTCATCCGGCCCCCATCCCTTGACTCCTGCCGCTTTTCCTCTCTTTCACCTCTTTCCCTCCCGTCCCCCCCCCCCACGCACGCAGCAATACCCCTACGACACGCCATCAGAGACCTTCCCCTTTGAGATCTTCAAGCAGGCGTTCATTGCCGTGCAGTCATGCGTGGTGCACCTGCAGGTGAGTGAAATTATATTTTCCTGCAGCCCTTAGATTCTATATTATCTTGTGCTTGAGTAAGGTGCTAAGGGCACCTGCAGGTGAGAGTCAATGCAGTCATGCGTGGTGCACCTGCAGGTGAGATCTGATTCTCTTGTGCTGAGTAACGCACCAAGGGCACCTGCAGGTGAGAGTCAATGCAAGCATGCATGATGCACCTGTAAGTGAGATCTGATTCTCATGTGCTCTCCTCGTCTCCCCTCATATCTCCTGTCGCTTCGACTTCATTACCGATGGGTCCGCCTCTCTCGTGGCCTACCACAGCACCACCCGCTTACCCACAACCCCTCCGCTCCTCCCACCCTCTCTCCCCATCTACCCCCTCATCCGTTCGTGCCATACCCCTCCTTCCCCTCAGGGTCTGCTTCCCCCCCGTCGCTTCGCCCTCATCCCCATGGGACCGCCTCTCCTGGCCTACCACAGCACCACGAGCTCACAGCCAAACCCCCACTTCTCCCCACCCATCCCCCCCTTCCCCCTTATTCTCCCCTCGTCCTGCCCATCTAAATCCCCTGCAGGGCGTGCCACTCCCCCGTCGCTTCGCCCTCATCCCCATGGGACCGCCTCTCCTCGCCTACAAGAGCACCACGCGCTCCATGCTCGCCGCTTCCCCCGACGGTGGGGTTGAGCTTCGTCTGGACCGTCCTGTCAAGGCTGGGGAGCCCCTTAGCGTGTGGTGAGTGCGGTACAGAGTGGTGAGTGGTGAGTGAGCTAGTGTGAAGGAGGGTCCGCCTCCCCTCGCCTACAAAAGCACCACGCGCTCCATGCTCGCCGCTTCCCCCGACGGTGGGGTTGAGCTGCGTCTGGACCGCCCTGTCAAGGCTGGGGAGCCCCTCAGCGTGTGGTGAGTGCGGTACTGTGTGGTGAGTGGTGAGTGAGCTAGTGTGAAGGAGGGTCCGCCTCCCCTCGCCTACAAAAGCACTACCCGCTCCATGCTCGCTGCCTCCCCCGATGGAGGGGTCGAGCACCGTTTGGACCGCCCTGTCAAGGCCGGGGAGCCCCTCAGCGTGTGGTAAGTGCGGTACTGTGTGGTGAGTGGTGAGCGGTGAACGAGCTCGTCTAGTGTGTGTGCCTACCGCAGCACCACACCACGCGCTCCATGCTCGCTGCTTCCCCTGATGGGGGCGTGGAGCTCCGTTTGGACCGCCCTGTCAAGGCCGGGGAGCCCCTCAGCGTCTGGTGAGTGCTCTGCACTTCAGGCACAAATGCCCCTGAGTCTGTAACCTCCGTAACCTCTTTGTAAGACGTGTGCCTACCACAGCACCACACCACGCGCTCCATGCTCGCTGCTTCCCCTGATGGGGGCGTGGAGCTCCGTTTGGACCGCCCTCTCAAGGCCGGGGAGCCCCTCAGCGTCTGGTGAGTGCTCTGCACTTCAGGCACTAATGCCCCTGAGTCTGTAACCTCCGTAACCTCTTTGTAAGACGTGTGCCTACCACAGCACCACACCACGCGCTCCATGCTCGCTGCTTCCCCTGATGGGGGCGTGGAGCTCCGTTTGGACCGCCCTGTCAAGGCCGGGGAGCCCCTCAGCGTCTGGTGAGTGCTCTGCACTTCAGGCACTAATGCCCCTGAGTCTGTAACCTCCGTAACCTCTTTGTAAGACGTGTGCCTACCACAGCACCACACCACGCGCTCCATGCTTGCTGCTTCTCCTGATGGGGGCGTGGAGCTCCGTTTGGACCGCCCTGTCAAGGCCGGGGAGCCCCTCAGCGTCTGGTGAGTGCTCTGCACTTCAGGCACTAATGCCCCTGAGTCTGTAACCTCCGTAACCTCTTTGTAAGACGTGTGCCTACCACAGCACCACACCACGCGCTCCATGCTTGCTGCTTCTCCTGATGGGGGCGTGGAGCTCCGTTTGGACCGCCCTGTCAAGGCAGGGGAGCCGCGCAGCATGCGGTGAGTGCTCTGAGGTTTGGGGAGTGGCTGGGTTGCAGTGTCGCAGAGGGTTAGTCCTGTAGTAGCACTATGCCCCCCATGCTCGCTCCTTTCCCTGATGGGGGTGTGGAGCTCCACCTGGACTGCCCTGTCAAGACGGGGGAGCCCCTCAGCTTTTGATGAGTGCTCTGAGCTTCAGGTATGCCAACCCCCATCTCCCCCCCCTCCCTCCTCCCCCCCAAATTCCTAACATCCGTGGTGGACACTTGCCTACAAAAGAACCACACGCTCCATGCTCGCTGCCTCCCCGGATGGGGCGTGGAGCTCCGTTTGGACCGCCCTGTCAAGGCAGGGGAGCCGTTCACCGTGTGGTATTGAGGGCCCTTGCACCATTTGTCCTTCCCCCTTCTCTCCCCTTCTTCACCATGGCAGGTGCGGCCCTCAGCCCAACACTCGCCTGTTGCTCACCTATGGTATCGCGGACGAGGATAACCCTTATGACCGCCTCACAGTGCATCTCTCTTGAACTCTCCTCCTTTTTCCACTCCCCCCCTCCTTCCTCACACTCCCCGCTACCCCACTCACTCACTCAACCCCTCTCAGGTGCGGCCCTCAGCCCAACACTCGCCTGTTGCTCAACTACGGCATTGTGGACGAGGACAACCCCTATGACCGCCTCACAGTGCAGGTGAGGGCTGCGCAGGTGGGCAGGTAGGCTAGGGGTAAATCCCCTTTTCTCTGTTGCTCAACTACGGCATTGTGGACGAGGACAACCCCTATGACCGGCTCACAGTGCAGGTGGGTGAGGGTTGTGCAGCATGCAGGGCAGATGCACGAAGGGAGGGAGTCTCTGTGTCTCTCTCTGTTGCTCAACTACCGCATTGTGGGTGAGGACAACCCCTATGACCGCCTCACAGTGCAGGTGAGCGGTGCTAGCGACACGTACTGCAGGTGAGGGGTGCTAGCGACACGTACTGCAGGTGAGGGGTGCTAGCGACACGTACTGCAGGTGAGGGGTGCTAGCGACACGTACTGCAGGTGAGGGGTGCTACCTTTTTTTAGGCGCCTCAAAAATCTACTGCAGGTGAGGGGTGGATTTTTGAGGCGCCTCAAAAATCTTCTGCAGGTGAGGGGTGCTACCGGCGCAAAGATCAAGTGAGGAATATGCAGGTGCTATTTTCTCAACGCAACTACTGCATTGTGGACCAGGACAATCCCTATGACCGCCTTACAGTGCAGGTGAGCGAGAGGGCAGTGCGGCCGGTAGGACAGGCAGCGGGTTCAGAGTTAAAAGGTTCTTTCCCACCCACCCCACTATCTCCTGCTTGCAGTGAGGTGTATTTTGAGGCGCCTCAAATTACACCTCACTGCACGCGGGTTCAGAGTTAAGAGGTTCTTTCCCACCCCACTATCTCCTGCTGCTCCTCGTCTCATCTCCACTACCCATTCCCTTCTCTCTCCCATCCCCTTCTCTCTCCCATCCCCTTCTCTCTCCCATCCCCTTCTCTCTCCCATCCCCTTCCTCAGGTGGCTTTGAACCCTGACGACCCCCTGTATCAGGCCAAGAGGGCCATTGTGCAGAAGAACGACCTTCTGCGCACCCAGGACTTCCAGGTGAGTCTTCAGGTGGTTTTTCAGGTGAGGCGTCAGGTGTTTTTTCAGATGAGACTCCTCTCCAGGGTTTTCAGGTGATTGTGCAAAGTGGGTTTTTTGGCGCAGCACTTGATGACTCGACACTGTAATGGCCTGTTGTCTTTGTTGGATTAACACGCCACAGTACGCCCCTTGCACTCTCCCCTCACCCCACACCCTCCTCAACCGCCCTCAAATGCTCTCCCCACCTTCCTCCTCCCACACCCCTCATGACACCACATCATCCGTACAAGGCGAAGAATGCAGCCCTGTGCGGCCTGATCCTCTAACCTGCTGCTTGCGCGCCTGTTAATTGCTGAATTTTTACAACCCTCTCTTTGCACTCTTTCCATATCGCTCCTCATCACCTGTACAAATGCAAGGGGCATGTATGCAGTGCTATATGACACACTGCGACCCCTGCGCCCGGCATGACGGTTCCCTCTTTGTTTGATTCCACCCACTCAACTCAGAAAGTGACATGACGCGGCTGCAGCGCATGGCTTGACGGTGCGGTGCCCTCTGTCCTCACCTTCACACCTCCTCAACCACCCACACCCTTCCCCCATGCCACTTCACTAGCTGTGCAAGGGCAAGGAGCACGCAGCGCTATACGACACGACATGATGTCCTATCCTACCTGCGCCTGGCATAGCAATGCGCTCTTCCCTCAAGTACTCCCGCGCAAACCCTCCCCCCCTTCCCAACCTCCACCCCCCTAATTCCTCACATCAGCTGTGCAAGGGCAAGGAGCAGGCAGCCCTGTATGACATGATGCCCTGATGACGCATTCTCCCCTCACCTCCACACCATTCTCAACCACCTCCGACCCATCAGCCGTACAAGGGCAAGGAGCAGGCAGCCCTGTACGACATGATGCCCTAAGTGCGCCTGACTGTGGACATGAACCAACATTCCCTCTTACACTTCTTCCACCTCCCCCGTTTCCCCCCCGCCCCCCCCCCCCCCCTCCCCCCTCCCATCCATCCCCATGCCTCCACACCAGCTGTACAAGGGCAAGGAGCAAGCAGCCCTATACGATATGATGCCCTACCTGCGCCTGGCGCATGTCACCGACCCTCTTGATATGGAGTTTGTCACATTCGCTGATGGGCCTGTGTGCGGGGTGAGTGGGGGAGAGGGGGTTAGAATGAGGTGAGTGTGTGGCGGTGTGTCCAGAAAACTATATAAGAATGCCCTCATTCTCCCCTCATTCGAGAGAGGACATAAGCAGAATAAGCATGCCATACCTTCGCCTGGCGCAGTGAGTGTGGAATTCGTCACATTCGCCGATGAGTCTGTGTGCGGGGTGAGTGGGGGATGAGTGTGGCAGTGTGTGGGGTGAGCGGGGAATGAGTGTGGCAGTCTGTGGGTGTTGTAAGTGTTGATTGCCTGCCATAGTTTGGGCATGAGAGGGGGGCAGAGTATGTGTAATAGTGGCATGTCACTGACCCCTTCAATATGGAGGTTGTTGCATTCGCTAATGGCCCTGTGTGTGGGGTGAGTGAGGGGTGGTTGTGTGCCTTTGTGGGGTGTGTCCATGCCAGTGTGTGGTGTAAGCTTGAGCTGAATGCCATACCCGTGCCTGGCTCATGGGAGTGAGGGGTGATGTGTGCGTGTGTGGGGGGTCAGTGTGCGACTCTCAAACGACAAGGATTGAGAATCTGAAACTTCAAATGAAATGTACAAGAGAGAGATCCAGTGTGCTCCCTTGCCGATTCGTTTCATCTCGTTGCATCCGTGCACTCTCGTTCCCATATTCCATTCTTGTGTATCTATCCCCGTTATCCCCATTATCCCCATGGTTTCCACGCAGGTGAGTCCGTGCAACGAGAACGCGGTGTTGGATCAGCTGGTGGAGTTCTTTGAAGGCCGACTCGCTGCCTACCCCACCACTCTCGAGGAGGATATTGCTGCGGTAAGAGATGATTCGTTAAAGGCAACATGTGACAGGATTGAAGGTAACTAGTTTTACGAATGGTTATTCTTTGAAGGCCTACTCGCAGCCGGACCACTCTCGAAAAGGGCATTGCTGCAGTAAGAGATGACTCATTAACATTGCAATGGTTTTGTTGAGCAAGCAGACTCGCTTCTTATCCCAGCTCCCTGGAGGAGGATATTATTTTGATATTCATTACATCCGCGTATGGTGAGAGAAAACTTCTTCGAAGGCAGACTCGCAGTCGTAGCCTACTGCCAACAGATTTCTGACCCAGCAACCCACCCCAAGAGGTGAGTGGCGGCACAGCTGGTGTGAATTGAGAAGGAGATTCTGAGCAGCGGTCTGGCAGCCGTGCAGAATGTCATTGCTGCTCCCCTCCTCACCTCCCTTTTCCTCCTTCCCCTTGCTTCCTGCCCCCTGCCTCCCTGTCCCCTGTCTCCCTGCCTCCTGCCCCCTGCCCCCCTGTATCTCCTCCCCACTCCCAACAGATTGCAGACCCAGCAACCAAACCCAAGAGGAGGGTTGCAGCGAGGCTGGTGCGCATTGAGAAGGAGATTCTGAGCAACGCACTGGCAGCCGTGCAGGAGGTCATCTCTGCCCTCCCTACGTGGAGCGAGGCACCGTGCTACAGCCAGCACAGGCCGATTCTGAAATAGGGTACACTAAATCAATTGCTGTGTTTTGAACTACACTAAATGTAGGAAATTTTGAGCAGTGCTCTGGCAGCCGTGCAGGAGGTAATTTCTACCCTGCCCACTTGGAACTAGGCACCGTGCTACAGCCAGCACATTCTGATTATGAAATACTGTACGGTAGCGAAATGAACTGCTGTGTTAAAGGAACATATGCAATGACGATTTTTTCATATTGTAACTTTGCTAGCAAAGAAATCTGTTGTTCTTCTTTCAGGGCGTGCGGTCATAGCCATCGTATGACTGCAATCCCAGGGTTGTCATCCCCTGTAGTTTTCTTGCAGATTATCTCCCAGGTTCTTCTTCTGTTGTGGCCTCCTGACTGGAGCTGCCTAAGAATCTATAAGCCACTACCGGTACTCTGAAGGTAATTTTTGCAGGGGGGAATGTAAACGAACAAGTGTTGAAACAAGAAAAGAAAGCGTCACACGCCAGTTCCACATTAGCAGAGGACCTTTAGCCAAGGCCGATCCTTCCTCATCGCCTTCCTAACCTCCTCCAAGCCTCCAACCAGCCAGAGCTCCCCCAAACGAGCCAACCTCTTCACCATCTTCTTCACACCACCCTTGGTCAACCCACCACCAACAGCACCAGCACTACCACCAGCGGCACCACCACCAGCAGCAGCAGAGCAGCGCAAAGCCCTCAAATTTGGAAAGAACTTTGCAACACACAGGGCACCTTCGTCTCTCAGCTGCCACCCGAACAGGCTCAGCCAGGAGAGCTCCTCCATGGGGCCCAGAGCCCTGATCCACCTGCCACCAGGTGTAGAGCAAAAAATTGACTTGACTTCAAAAGCAGATTTAGAAAACGTTTCTTCTTTAGGTAAAGTTTTCACCTTGGCTTACCTCTCATCAGGTGCAGAATCGGCTGCAGAATTGGCTGTAGAAGTCACTGCAGAATAGATCACCCAGGCAAGGTTGAGCGTGTGTAGGTGCTGCAGCTGGCGAATGTGGTACATGGACCGGCATGTGACGCGCGCGCAGTGGCGCAGGTCTAGAGTGGTGATCCCTGTGAGCTGACACCAGACAGCCATGCCCTCATCACCCACAGCTGTCCTGCTGAGATTCAGCCTCCTCAGGTTTGTCAGATTCGTCAGGTTTGCCAGATTTGCCAGATTTGTCAGACTTGCCAAATTTGTCAGATTTGCCAAATCTGTCAAGTTTGCCAGGTTTGGAGCACTGCTTATGACAGGGTGCGGTGCTGCTGCACCGAACCTGAAGCCAGTGCATCCAGCCAAGCAGAGGTGAGTGAGCTGACTGAGTCGAGCAATCAGAGGCAAATCAGAGTCGACCAGGCGAGTGCAGTTGCTGAAATCAAGCTTTCTCAGAGATGGAAGTTGCAGGACAATGGTTTGTTGCAGGCAGGGGTTGGTAATTGACGGGAAGGCTTTGAGTGTGGAGACGGTGGAGAGAGATGCGGAGTGGTGGAGGGAGAGTGAGAGGAGGTGGAAGAGGAGGGTGTGGTAGGAGGGGGAAGGGAGTGCAGAGAGGTCGAGAGTGGTGAAGCCCTTGAGGAGCTGCGTGCTGTGGAAGGTGGCTAGAGATTGCAAGCCCTGGAGGGGGACGGGGAGGAGAACAGCAGATGTGAAGGATGAAAAAGAGGAGACGGAGGAATAGCAGTGGTGCAAAGAGTTGAGAGTGAAAGGACCCAAAGAACGGAGAAGCACTGAACGACGATGACCAGTTAACAAACACGGCAACCAAAGGGCTGGAAAACAGCACTGCACTGTAGCCACCGGTGCACTGAGGGAGCGGATGTGGTGGTGCTACAGAGAGTACAGGTAGAGGTGTTGGCAGCAGTGGAGGGAGAGTTTCAAGTGTGGAAGGGAGGGATACAGAAACAGAGGAAAGAGGAACCCACTTATCAATCCTCCTAAAAGAGAAAGAGTAGAGGGAGACAATAAGGTGGAAAGGGTGAGATTTTGTGGGGAAAGATATGTTGGTGTACACGATACCTTTTCAATCCTCTGAACCTTGACAAGTTGCTGCTGCAGCTGCGCGTCCATCTCCCTCATCCGTCTCTTTGCGCCTATCAAAGACGGCCCATGACTCCCTCTTGAAATATGCACATGACAGCTTCGGCATTCCAGCTGCTGCTGCGGTTGATGCTGCTGATGTTGTGATTGCTCCTGCTGCTGATGCTCTGGATGCCACTGCAGCACTTGCTGCTGCTGCTGCTCCTGCTGATGATGCTGGCACAGCACGGTTTCCTGAGTCGCGAGAAACAACTCCCGGTTACCCCCCAATTCGGTCAATTTCATTCTTACGCCTTCCACAAGACCCCTGATTCCCTCCACACTCTCCTCCAGTCTCTGCAGATGCTGCTCCGCTTCCTGCACGTGCTCTACCGCAGTCATCCTCACTATAAGCTGGTGAACCTTGTTCGTTATAGATTCCTCCAATTCCTGCACCTCCTGTGTCATCTCTATGAGGACATCCGCCACGCCCTGCATTGCTGTTAAAATCGAAACAGCCGCTGTTGAGAATCTAAACAGGCGCTGCTGAGATCGAACTGTAAGTAACAACCGCTGCTGAAGATTAATCAGTCTCTGCTGATACTGGAAACAGAATTCGCTGAGAATTGAACAGTCTGCTGACAATAGAAAGCCTCTGCTGAAAACTGAAACGGTTGCTAAAAATCGAACAGCCTCTGCCGAGAATCACGAATCGAGTTTGGATCTGTGAATCAAGCGATTTCTATCAGCAGCGCATCCACCTCGCCAGTCTCTGCGAAAAAAACTTAAACAGCCTCCGTTGGGAACCCTCTTTTTTTATTTCTCAAACAACGAGCTCCACATTACGGAACATGAAGCTCATGGGTTGCCTTCGAATGTTTCACAGGTGAAACGGATCTACGAATTGTACCCATGGAAGCTGACAAGAATTTATGAGAGCGGCTTTCTGCGGAGCTTCGGACGCTGTGGCTCCTCGCGTTTTACCTCTGCAAAAATCTGCTTCTTACCAATCGCCAAGGACATTGTACGTCTTGATTTTACCGGACCAAAAGGAACCATTCAGCCTTTCTGCCCACCCACCGCTGCTAACCCTGTACTGACGGTCCCGTTTCCTCCGTTTGAATCCGTCAGGTCTGTGCTCGTCAGCAGCACTACTGCTGAGTCGGCCCGAACGGTACCAAGGCATCCTTCCAACCAATCACGAATTCCACGCAAGCTGGGCCGCTTCCTGGGGTTTCTTGAGATCATCTCAGATGACTCGAATCACAGGAACCTCGAGAGCCTAAGGAGCCTAGGGATAATCTCGCGCGGCTGATTGGTAGCAAACCAGAAGCAAATCCGAGATGCATACCCAAGGCACGATAATTTGTTGGGGCTGGAATGCGGCTGGGCTCTGGCTGGACTCACAGGAGCTTTTGGTGGAAATCCCAAGGGTACTGGTCTGGTGCTCCTGCGATGTGAGCGATATACTTTACAGCTGGCCACATGGCGAGTTACCATCATTCTGATTTCGCATCTTGAATGGTTAGTTACCGAAGGCGTCTAACGAAGATCGGTTGGAGGGACAGGGGGATTCGGTAACATCGGTCGTTGTCGATGCCGCGAACGTCGTCACCCACCGTGACGTTTCCAGTATTTTCGTTAGCTAGTGTAACAGCAGGTGTGTTATTCGTGTCGGTAGTTATCATTCGAATGTTCCAATGGCGATGTTATTATACACTTCCGCATATGCATGTGTATACAGTCTGCATCCTTTCCTCGTTGGCTGATTCTTCACGCTTTGTTCACGACGCACGTGACGATTGTCGTGGACAAGGGAGATCACACGTGCATGCAGCCACTAAAACAGGGAGTACAGCATTTGCAAGCGTGGAAACAGGTCAATCCACTCTAGATAGCGTGGAGCTGACGCAGCATTTGTGCCGCGACCGCACCGACTGTGGGAAATTTCATGGTCAGCATGTCTGGTTGGCGAAAGAAATTGCCGTTATGTTCGCGGAGTTTTCTTTCCGCGAATTCCCCTGAGACGTACAGTTATCGCACTACTCACAAACAGTTTCGCATGGTAACCATGCGTCCATCTAGCGAAGAAAGCTGGGAAGGGGGAATCCAGAAGAGGTGGTTCTGGCTTGCTGTAAACTTCGCTGATGCGCGCAGAAGTCTCCGCCGGCGCCCTTCAAGGTGCTCCGCCAGTAAATTCCTCGCACAGCGCGTGCGTGCGGCGCGGCGGAAAATTCTGCTCTTGGGGTCTCACAAAGCATGGGTGATGTGCGGGGTGAGTGACTCTGCTCTGCTCTCCTATCCGCTGTCCTGCTGTGCTCTGCCCTGGTCTGCCCCGCACTGCTCAATTCTGCACCCCACGGGCGGGACTGCCCGCCACACCACATTCATGCCTACCGCGTGCCGTTGCAGCGTGACATGACCAAGCACCGAACTAAGGTATTTCCAGGTGGTCTGGTCTGGATTCATATAAATGCTCCACTCCATTCTTGGTTTCGCCCGCGTACAGTGAAACCTTCATTAGTCACATAATCTGGCGCCTCGCGACATTAGTAGTCTTGGGAACGAGCTTCACCTCCTATCCTCCCGGTTATCTTCTTTTATTTTCTGTATCCGACTATAGCCATGGCCGCAAGTCTTCAATCTTCTATTCAAACCGCTAGCATTAGAGTTCCAGTCACACTCCACGTGCCTTCGCAGAGGCTATCACTGCCAAACTCCTTTCTCCCGCCTCTCTCTCCCCGCTTCTCTCGCCATGCTGACCGATGCGCGGACGCGCGGGATTCGCGGCAAGACACACGGCACGATTTACGGAAAGAACGCGCTGGCGGCTCGAAAACCGCAGCGCGGATGCAGTTTGGCGAGTTCGGGGAGTTCGAGCATGTCGAGTCGGCTTTTGACTATGCTGACGAGGAGTTTTCTCGCGCCACCGTGCTTGAAGCGAGTGAGTGTGTTCTACCATACAACGCGTATGCCTTTTTCAGGCGCGCGACGTTTCGTTGCAGAGATGTTCCGTTACGAGCAACGGGCAGCACGTGCTCCGTTGTGAGCGCGGGTGCCGTTATCTGCACGTGTGTACGGAGTGCGACTGCCCACCTGCCCACTTCCTTCGCCCTCTTCCCTCCCGCTTTCCCGCCAACCCCTCCTCCCCCCCTCCCCCCAACCCCCCCGTCGCCCCAACTTTCCCTCCCCCTCCTAATGCGCGCACAACCTCATGGACGGGGTGCGCCTCCTTACCTCCCCGTTACTCACTTTCCACCACCCCTCTTCCCAACCCGCCCTCTCTCCCCCTCTTTCCTCCCCCCGTTCCCTCCCTCTCCCATCCCGGCCGTACCGTGCAGCGAGTGTCAGCAGCAGCGGCGACGCGCTTCTAGTGGGGATGACGGACGGCATTACGTTCAAGTGTTTCGCACAACCTCATGGACGGCGTGCGCCTTCCCTGCGGTTCCCCTTACCTGCTTCCCCCCACCCCTTTCTTCCCCCTTCCCCACACTGTGCAGCGAGTGTCAGCAGCAGCGGCGACGCGCTTCTAGTCGGAATGACCGACGGCATATCGTTCAAGTGCGCGCACAACCTCATGGACGGGGTGCGCCTCCCCGAGTACCCCGCGCAGCCCGCTGCTGTACTTAAACTCGAAGACGGCTCGCGCATCCTCCTCCCCATCCTCATACGTGAGTGCTGGCCTAAACTTTAACGCGATTCTCCGTATCGAGTACACGTTGTGGAATAGCATCTCTCATGGACGGGGTGCGCCTCCCCGAGTACCCCGCGCAGCCCTCCCCGAGTACCCCGCGTAGCCCGCCCGCCCCGCCGTGCTGGAACTGGAAGACGTCCGCGCGGCGCAGGACGGGGGAAGGGGAAGCACGAGGGAATGGGAAGGACGGGGAAGGGGAGGGACGGGGGAAAGAAACACGGGGGAAGTCGAGCGACGGGGGAAGGGGAAGAGAGGAAGCTGCTCCCTATTTCACACGCGCCTTCTTTTCCTGCTCTTTTCGCATCTCTTCGACTTTGAGTCATCCTCCCCCCTATCCCTTCCCCGATCTCGCCTGGTTTCCTTCCCCGGTCTGCAGCGCACCTCTCCAGCCAAATGCTCATCGACTAAGTGTCTCCCCGTCCCCCTCCCCCTCTTTCCCCTCCCCTTCCGTTCCTTCCCCCTCTCCCCCTGCTCTCCTTCCCCGTCCCCCATCTGCAGCGCACCTCTCCAGTCAAATGCTCATTGACTCGGTGCGCGGCGTACCTCTGGTGAGTTGAAGGTGCCTCTAGTGACTGTAAACGGTGTGACTATAACGAGTGTAGAGTTAAGAGGGGTAAATGAAAATTGGTGCTTTTGATGCTGGTAGAGATTTTGCTTGAGAGTCGAGAATGCTTATATTGAGACAGAGCTTTTGGAGATGGTTCAAGGCATGACTGCAAAAGTTATTATCTTGTACATGATCCTTGCTTCTAGTGCAAGCCACGTGGTGAGATCGAAATCTAATCAGTACTTTCTTGTGTGATTGTGTTTTGCAATGCTGACGTGGCAGGGTCGGCCAACGGTGTACATGCTAATGCGGGATATGATTGAGCTGATGGGATATGAGGTGAGGTGGTGTGATTGGGTGACACTATGGAATGTTAGGTGGATTGATTGGGATATAGGGCGAGACAATGGGATGTGAAATGGTTCACTGGTGCTCTTACTGTCAAATGCCAATGCAATTCACAAATCCAACCCAACCGGCTTAGCTGCTGCTTTCCATTTTTTTTTCTACACCACAAACTGAAGTTTCCACGTCCGTCCGTCCGCCCGTCGCCCTGTTTCTGCCTCTGCTTGCAGATCAGTTTGATTCGCATCACCCATCGAGACGGGGATGCCTACTGTGCCCGGGCCTACCTATCCAAGGTCAGTCCGGATTTATTTATGACTCTTATCTTATAGAGTTCAGTCAATGCGCATCGCCCATTGGTGCAGCTCGTACCGTGCCCGGGTCTTTAGAGTTCAAGTTGCTGTGCATCGCCCATCGAGACGGGGATGCCTACCATTGCACCAACAGTGGCAGCAGCAGAAGCAGTGGTCTCGGTACTAAAGCTCCAGGGCATGTTGACATCCATAGTTGATTTGTTTTAACATCCTTGTTTCTCACAGAAGGTGCCTGCTGACAGTAGCACGGCCACCAGCAGCAGCGGAGGGCCGGCTATGATGAGTTTGGACATGCGGCCATCCAATCTGAGTTGGATTCTTGCACTTTCCCTCCGCTCTCCCACTCAACAGGTATCTGCTGACAGTAGCACAGCCACCACCAACAGCAGCACTGGGCCGGCTATGATGAGTTTGGACATGCGGCCATCAGATGCCATCAACCTAGCAGCACGCGCCAAGGTGGGTGATTGCAGCACTGTTGTAGCACATGTGTGATTGTATTGAAGCGTGGATGCCATCAACCTAGCAGCACGCGCCAAGGTGGGTGATTGCAGCACTGTTGTAGCACATGTGTGATTGTATTGAAGCGTGGATGCCATCAACCTAGCAGCACGCGCCAAGGTGGGTGATTGCAGCACTGTTGTAGCACATGTGTGATTGTATTGAAGCGTGGATGCCATCAACCTAGCAGCACGCGCCAAGGTGGGTGATTGCAGCACTGTTGTAGCACATGTGTGATTGTATTGAAGCGTGGATGCCATCAACCTAGCAGCACGCGCCAAGGTGGGTGATTGCAGCACTGTTGTAGCACATGTGTGATTGTATTGAAGCGTGGATGCCATCAACCTAGCAGCACGCGCCAAGGTGGGTGATTATAACGATGGGTGTGCGTGGGACTAGTGGGGTCGTTGCGGTGAGATACGGTGGCAAAGAATGCCAGATACAGCAACATGAATGGCAAGAACCAGAATCAGTGAAAGAATCAGTGCAGTGGTATGGGCAGGGAGCGGGGGAAGGGACAGGAGGCAGGGGGCAGGGCCGTGGGACTGGGGTTGGGGGCTCGGCAGGTGGGGGCCAGGGGCAGGAAGCAGGGGTGGAGGGCATGGGAAGGGTGCAGGCCCAGGTCTTAGCTTGGACACAGGCTTTCAGGCGGTCAGGCTTACAAATTTGTTTTTGCTCTTCTCAGCAGGATGTTCCCATCCTGCATCTCAATTGCACCAGGCGCTTATTCAGGTGTGTCTCTGTTGTTTCAGGTGCCCATTCAGGTGCGGAAATCCCTGGCGGTGGCGGACGGCGTGAGGATAGTGGGGATGGTTCGGTCGGCAGTGGCACCCGGGCACGGCGGGCGGCTGCTGAGACGGCAGCAGAGAGTGGTGCTGACGTCAGAGGACATGTGAGTGGATGCATGCTGACGTCATGGCATAAGGTGCTGCTTAAATTTAAGATAATAAGAGGCGTGTAGATGATAGTAGGCTCAGAAGATGTGTTTGGTTGGTAAGAATGGTGTGGACTGTGTGGGGATGGTGCGGGTTGTACGGGAATGGTGGAGATCATGGAATGGGGATGGTGGGGATGGTGTGGTGTGATGGGGATGGTGGGAATGGTGCAGATAATGGAATGGGGATGGTGCGGACTGTGTGGGGATGGTGCAAGCAGCAGTGGCACCCGGACATGGTGGCCGGCTGCTGAGACGGCAGCAGAGAGGTGCTGATGTCAGAGGACAAGTGAATGGTGGGATGCTGACGTCAGAGCATACGGTGCGGCCTGAATAAGACAATAAGAGGCGTGAAGTCGATAGTAGGTTTGAGTGAGGAGGAAACCAGCTACGTTCCCTCAAAGGAAGAAGAGGCAAAACATAACATAGCTACGTTTCATCCTCGTTTCCTCTCTCCTCTTCCCTGCAGGCCGGATCTCGAGGACCAATTACTCGCAGACGAGTTTGAGTTGGTGAGGCTGATGGAGGAAGCAGCACAGCTTGAACGAATGGCACCAACTCTGCACCCTTTTTGTTTGTCTCTCTCTCTCTCTCCCCCTCCTCGTTTTGTCTTCCGCAGGCCTGATCTGGAGGACCTATCACTGGCAGACGAGTTCGCGCTGGTGAGGCTGATGGAGGAAGCAGCTCAGCCCTGACCACACCAACCGATTCTGTTCCTGCTCCGTTTTTCTCCCCCCCTCCCTTCTCCGCTCATTCCTTTCCTGCCAGGCCCGATCTGGAGGACCTATCACTCGCGGACGAGTTTGCGCTGGTGAGGCTGATGGAGGAAGCAGCTCAGCACGAACCAGTCCAACGAACTCTGCGCCCTCTTTATTTCTCCTTTTGACCCTCCTTATCCTCATTCGCTTCCTCAGGCCTGATCTGGAGGACCTATCACTAGCGGACGAGTTCGCGCTGGTGAGGCTGATGGAGGAAGCAGCTCAGCACGAACTCTGCGCCCTCTTTATTTCTCCTTTTGACCCTCCTTATCCTCATTCGCTTCCTCAGGCCTGATCTCGAGGATTTGTCACTTGCGGACGAGTTTGCGCTGGTGAGGCTGATGGAGGAAGCAGCACAGCACGAGCGGTACGGTGATGCGGCGAAGATTAAAGACCAGCTGATGAAGCTGCGACGGAGAACCAACAAGGTGAGTGGAGGAGAGGGAGAGAGGTAGAGAGGTAGAGAGAGGGAAGTATAGAGGAAGGAAAGAGTGGAACAGTTGTGCCTCTCAAGTGGCGGGGCTTGCGTTGTTGTAATATGGCCTGTAAGATAACCCAGCTGCATGCAAACACCATTTGATGAGTGTATGTTGCGGGACAATGACTCGTGAGCTTACCACCGTTTGTTGTCTTGCCCCATTTGCTGTTCCTTGATACCGTACAATGCAGGTATAGAGCTCTGTGCTTTGGCTACTAAGGAGATGGGGGGTGTGCCCTGCCCTTTGTACATTAGGGTTGCATCTCTCACTACCTACTTCAGACATGGTTTTTCTGTGTGCATTTTTGTAACTAGGGGTTTTCCTTTGTAAACAGGATCCCTTTGTGTCATTTCTATGAAGAAAACAAATGTATAGTGGTTTTGTTATATGATTTTATAAAACAATGTGGGCATTCTGATCCTGTGGATGATCCAATATCAAAGCTAGGATGGGTATGGTCTAGAATGGCTCGTATAACTTACCCTTTGTCCACTTATGATGACAGCAGAGTGTTTTCTATGAAGAGCTGATATAAAAGGGATGTATTCTTTATGAATGCACAGTTTCGATATCTTTCAAAACGAGTTATCACTTGTATCGCATCCTTCGACTGTAGATTTCACCTCTCCACTCTCGATTGTTGAACTCCCCCACTTTCATTTCTCACAACTCTCCCATTGACAATTTCCCCCTATTTTGTTTTTTTTTTCTGGAATTTTCTCAACGGTGGGCGGAGAGGCACATTTGAAGCACCTGCACACTAACGCTAGGATTTTTCGGCCATGGAGCTAGGATTGGGTGCATTGAACTGTCGATTCTAATTCGTGGGAATGCACAAAACGCCTGCAGACCGCGACCGCGGATGTTAGTTTCGTATTTCTGCCAGCTCGGAAGACTTTAGTTATGTGGGTTTGTAGCAGTTTCGTTCCGTAGCTTTGTAGCACTCTCTCGTAGGTTCGTAGCGGCAGCTTAATAGCTGACGCGCGAAAAAACAGAGTTAAATAGCGACTAACTCTCTCGCTATCTGCTGATAGGGAAAACGTCAGCTGGTTTAGCAACAGCAGCAGGAGCAGTACCAGCATCAGCAGCAGCATTGGCAGCAGCTTATCAGCAGGTGATGCCATGTCGGACAGGCTCGCTCCGGACAAGCGGTTCAAGTTCGTTCACAACGGTGAGACAATGAGGTGTGTGAGATGAAGGACAGAGCAACAGCATTAGCAGCAGCATTACCAGCACCAGCAGCGGCAGCACTACCAGCAGCAGGTGATGCCATCATGCCATGTCGGACAGGCTCGCTCTGGACAAACGGTTCAAGTTCGTTCACAACGGTGAGACAGTGAGATGAAGCATATCGAGCAACAGCAGTAGCAGCAGCATTAGCAGCAGCATTACCACCAGTAGCGGCAGTAGCACAGCGGCAGCACTACCAGCAACAGGTGATGCCATGTCCGACAGTCTTGCTCGGACAATGGTGATCCTACAAGGGCCTGTCCCATTCCTCTTAGTGAAACCAGAGGGGTTGCTTAGTGTGTCTTCCTCCCATTCCCATTTCGATTCTCCCTCCCATTCTAAACCCCACCCCACAGGCCAAACCGTCTATGAGTGGGACCAGACAGTTGACGAGATAGAGATTTTCGTTCCGCTGCCCGAAGGACTGCCCGCAAAGCTGTTCACATGCCAAATAGCGCAACGGCACGTCACAGTCGGCATCAAGGGCAATCCCCCTATTACTTGGATGTATGTCTCTTAAACTACCCTATTAGTGTGAATGATAAGCCGCCTAAGAGGATTTTGGCATGTGGTGTGTGATGTCTGATGGCAGAAGCATCATATCGCATGGTCACATTGGGGAATGATGCGGTGTGATAGCAGCACCAGGTGCTTGGGAACCACTTTTGAGAAATCACAAAAGTGATTGCAGCATCACCCTGCATGGTTGTGTTTTGCTCTTAAGGATGGTTTCCTGCCTGCCTCGGTCCTTCAAGTTAAAGTGGTGTTTTGCTCTTCTCACTCCCTCCCACCTCTCACATCCACTCACCTCCCCTACCTCCTCTCACCTCCTCTCACCTTCTCTCACCTCCCCTCCATGTCGTCCCTGTGCCTCCCCCTCTCCCACATGGCAGCACGACCTAGCTGGGGCTGTGAAGGTGGAAGGCAGCTTCTGATTCAACTTAGAGACACCTCCTCTCACCCTCTCTCCCCCTCGTCTTTCCGCCTTTCTCTCTCTTGACCACATGGCAGCACGACCTAGCTGGGGCTGTGAAGGTGGACGACAGCTTCTGGACCATTGGTGAGTCGCCGTTCCTGTTCGCTCACTCTGCATTGTCTTTCACCCTTCCTCTTTTCCCTTCTGGTCGCCAGTTCTTCTCTGGTACTCATTGTTTACTAGCGTTACTATCCCATACCTGTGTCCATTAGGGTTTGGTTTGCACGATACAAAATATCCCCATGCACCTCGGTTCCTCCTTTCATGCCTTGCCTCGGTCTTGCGAAAGGAGGGCATTCTGCCTTGCATGCCATTTCCACCTTTCCCCGAGGGCTCTGAGCTCCAAATGTCATTTGAGTCGACTCAAAAGGGCTCTGAGCTCCAAATGTCATTGCAAATGGCCGAGAGGCAAGCCATGGCCGGGCGGTGCAATCAAAGCAGACAGTGTAGATGCATTTTCCTTCTCTTCTCGTCACCTCTTTGCGTCCCACAGAAATGACTTTTGAGTCGACTCAAAAGCTTGGATGAATGACTTTTGAGTCGACTCAAAAGCTTGGATGCATTTTCCTCCTCTTCTCGTCACCTCTTTGCGTCCCACAGAGGGATTTGAGCTCCACATCTCGTTGCAAAAGGCTGATTGAAGCGTTGCATGCCAATCACAACCCCCCCTGCATTTCCGCGCCTCACAGAGGGCTCTGAGCTCCACATCTCTCCGCAAAAGGCTGATTGATTGAATGCGTTGCATGCCAATCACAACCCCCCCTGCATTTCCGCATCCCACAGAGGGCACTGAGCTCCACATCTCGTTGCAAAAGGCGGAACGAGGCAAGCCGTGGCCGGGCGCAATCAAAGGGCACAGTCTCGATGCGTTTTCTGCGGATCAGGAGTCGAGACGGCTCATGCTGGAGCGATTCCAGATAGAGGTGGGTGGGTGCCCAGGCTTGGGGCAAAGGTAGGCACCAGGGGACTGGAGCAAACGGCTGTCTGCATGCCTTTCCTGCGACCAGGAGTCGAGACGAGACGACTCATGCTGGAACGATTTCAGATAGAGGTGGGTGGACCTATGTAGGCACCAGCAGGAGGCACAGTGTGGATGCTGTGGGTTATCTGGAGTGAAGGGCACAGTTTGGGCATAGTCACGGGTTTTGAGGCAGCTCAAAAGTGAACGCTGTGGGGTGGCTATCTGTAGTGAAGGGCACAGTCCGGGCACAGTTACAGGACGCAGTTACAAGGCACAGTTACAATCAAGGGGCATAGCCTTGATGCCTTCTCTGCGGAGCGATTGTAGATAAAGGTGTGTCCGAGCAGCTTCAGATGGGAATGGGTGGCTGCCTTGGCTTGAGACGCATGCAGGCATGGAAGGCTTCAGCAAGAGGCACAGCGTGGATGCCTTTTCCACGAATCGGGAGTCACAGCGGTCCATACTGGAGCCGTGTGTGTATAGCAGATGCCGCAGAGCCGACAAAATCGGCTTAAGATGGAAAAATTGGAGTTAGATCGTTCTTGTGCAAGGCACACGAAATTGGCTCGCCCTTGTTTGCATGCCGCTTTTTCACTTAGACTGTCTGTCAGCTTCACATCTTGTCAGCTCCCCTTCTAGTTTCGCACATAAATTCCATTATGGTTTTATTTTAGATGCACTAATTCTTCACACCCCTCCAATGCGCCCTTTGGTTCGGTTGCTCTCCACCCCATGCATTGCAGACCAACAAGTGACTTATCAGTGCCGAGCCCACAGGATGCCTTTAAAATTTCTTTGCACTTCTTCTTTACATCCCTCATGTTCGCCCCCCGTATGCATTGCTCCTATGTTCTTCCCCACCTACGCATTGCAGAATCCGGGGTTTGACTTCTCTGGTGCAGAGCTTACAGAATGGACTGATCCATTTCTGCACCAGAAGATGGGGAGTCGTCTTGAAGTCCCCGTCACATCACATTTTCCGCTGTGTGCCCTCTGTTTGCGTTGCTCTCTCGTTGTTCCCCACGCATTGCAGAACCCGGGGTTTGATTTCTCTGGTGCAGAGCTGACAGGATGGCTTGGCTTTAAGTTTCACTGGTTCGTTATGTGCCCCTGTATTGTTCCCCACTCCCCACGTATTGCAGAATCCAGGATTTGATTTCTCTGGTGCAGAACTGACAGGATCGTGCCCCGACCCAGCAGCGTTTCTTGGTGGCATGCAGAGGCAGTGATTGGCTAGCAGCGTTGGTGGCATGCAAAGGCAGTGATTGGCTAGCAGCGTTTCTTGGTGGCATGCAAAGGCAGTGACTGGCTAGCAGCGTTTCTTGGTGGCATGCAAAGGCAGTGATTGGCTAGCAGCGTTGGTGGCATGCAAAGGCAGTGATTCGCTAGCAGCGTTGGTGGCATGCAAAGGCAGTGAGGCCCCACAGAATTCGTCACTGACATGTGAAGGCAATGATTTGTTACAGTAGGGCGGGGCAGCAGTGGCTATTTTCGCCTATACAGTACCGTAAAACGGTGAGCGATGTCCAGGCCCTCAGAAGTCAGCGAAAAAAGGCTGATTAGGGGTCAAAAGGCTGTGTTTTTCAGTGCTGGGTAGATAGTGGGGCTGATTTGGCAGTGTTTTTTTTTTAGGTGTGGGCTGAAATTTCAGATTTTTTTTCAATGTATGGGCTGAATTATCAGTTTTTTTCTGTACTCTACACTGACTGATCAGAGTTGTGTTAGAATCAGCAGGCAGGAATGATGGACTAGGTAGCATGCATGACTCATGTGTACAAGTACCTAACCATAAAGTGTTGTACCCCTTGTAGGCTAACCCACTATAGCCTAGAGAGAACACAAACATACAGTTTGACACACCCCCATAGGCTAAGTGGGAGATAGCAAACACAACAGACGGTCACAAGACCAGTCAAGCAAGAGAACAAACAAAGCAAAGCAAAGCTCAGGGTGGATCTCAAGGACACCACACAATCTGATCACAAGCAAGCGGCCACAAGGCCAGTTCACATGCAGAGGTATAATAACA